AATAGGTATCTTAAATGAACAACAACAAAATAAATTATTCCATTTAGTTGCAAGCTAACTAATTCATCCGTGTGAATTATGGTATATTGCGATATGCGCAGCTTGCTTGAGATAAGGAAAAGTCATCAGAAAAATGATAAATTCTGCAATTAAATGTATAATGTAATTGATTTAAAATATGTTAAATAGATTAAAAAGTCGCAATTTCCACTGTAGAACTATCGAAGTCTATGTTAGTGAAAAAAGCATACGACTTAAGTTGCTAAAGAAATCGGACAGACGAAGATGAACATTAAGATGCTTGAATGCTTATCATCCATTTATGCAAAGCGATTCAAGACAATGTCCATAAATTAAAAAATTGTGTGGTCCATTGCTTAGACAACGGCATCAATACGATAAACTTTTCTATTCATTTATGTGGCAACAATAAAAATCGATTCTCTCTGTCACAAAAGGAGGCTGACGAAACCTAAAGCTTCATCAAACTGACTTTCCAATTTCCTTCTTTACATTTAAAACTGTTCAATTGAGGTTTTTACTAAGTGCAGAACAGCGTTTTATGGTTTTAATCCTTTGTCAAATTGCGCAAAAATCGACACGGTAACTTACCGAAGAAGATCGGTTTCTCTCCTTATAAACACCTTGATAGGACAAATCAGGCATAGAGCCTTTGGGCATTCTCTCTTGAACAGGCTTTGCCGTTTCCAATGAGGCTCCTTGTTCAAGGAATTTCAAGAATAGTGATCGGCCCAACTGTAGAATACACCCATGACGAAGTGGTGTTAGCCTAACAACCTTTTTCCCGTCAAGATAGATTGCTGTGGGACCAGGTGGTCGCAGTGTTATATCAAGAGCTGGGGAAATTAAAATGGAACCTCCCATATTCTTCTCGCTGCCACCGTCAACATTTGATGAAGCAGGAAGAAGAGTGCAATGAACCGGACGAATATCGGGAAATCGATTCTTAGGAAGTAAAAAGGCACCATCAATATGTGTTATTAGCTTCTCCTAATCAGTTTAGTTAGAGCTACTTACAGCACTAAGGACAATATTTGGAGGAGGTCCCACCGAGTTAAATTGAGATCCAACTTTCACTGGAGCTCCGTTTTTATTCCCTTCACCGTTCTCTCCCACCAAACTGCTTAAATTGAACCTCAAAACACGCCCAGTTTTTGCTGTTCCGTTGGGATTAACTTCAACTAACTGAGGTGCCTGTTTCCTAACGGTTATATTAACGTAATCTGGCTGAGTTGATATTAATTCCTCCTGTAATGATATATTCTCGTCTTGGTGTAGAAAAAGATGGAATTGTGACCTAATCCTCGGGAATTTTGCTTGAATATTTCGCAGAATGTGCAGTGGTCGTTCATCAGGTCGCAATACCCGATGTGGTGGAATATTATACCTACAGACATATATTAAATTAATGCTACTGAAATGTACTAAGCAGTTATTATTTAGACTTTTCTTACGGAAGACTTTCACCATTAGGAGGTTGGTTGAATTGTTCGAGACTATAGTATTCCATATGCTGGAGGCGACCATAGGAACCTAAGATGCGTTGAATTATTTGGCTTGTGGTTTCCAGGACATTTGACTGAATGTTCTGGTTTTGGTCAGGTAGATTCGCATGTCGAAGGTTTACAGTCAAAAATTCAGCTAAAATATAGAAGGCATAAACATTGTAAACCTGTAATGCAAAATTTAAAGATAATAGGAATTAATTTATTACATTGAAGGTTTATACGATTCTGGTTCATGAAAGGTTCGGTATCTCCCAGAAAGTTGGGGAGAGATGCTGTTCGCATCACAGATTGCTCGACCATTGCTGAATCCGATAGCTTTTGTTTCTTTTTATTTCCGTTAGACTTTAGTGACTTTGTCTTCTTCTTAGTTGTAGATTTGCCTTTGGCTTTGGTATCAGTTGATATGGGGAAGACAATTTCGTCTGTACTATTTGCAAGATTTTCCTGCGATCGACCATAGGTTCCTATTGACGCAGTTTCTGCCATGAGATTTCCTGTACTTCGCCATTTAGCCATATTGACACTGCTGCTACCTGTATTCCCAATTGGCGGATTTTGAAGATTCTTCTAAAATAAAGCGGCATTAAATAACTTTCCAGAAAATGAAATGAAAAATCATAGAGTTACATCAAATTGTCCATCAGAAACTCAACTTATCATAAATTTATGTAATCCAACTAGGAACTTCAAATCTCCTCTATTGAAAATATCCTATACTCTCTCGACCCCGTCCACAATTAAAGTTCATTTATAATATTAAATTATACTTATATACTTTAAACCTGCTATGTCTTGCCTTCTCAGCTGTTTATACAAGTTTACCATGTTAGGTATTTTGGAAAACTGTTCTTGAAATCTTAAATTTCAATTCCAAATAGCTTCATGTGCCATATGATTTTTGACTTATAACAGGAAAAAAAGAATAATTCGTGTTCTTAATTTAATTAACCCTTGAATTTCTATCACTAACTTAAGAAACTTAAATAAAATTTCGTAAATAAACGTATAAATTCTTTTAATATTAACCATTTAACGCCCGAATTATTTTTGAACAGCGCACCCAACCGCATTTAGGGGTGTCCCACAACGACATGATGAGTTATGGTGGTACATCAAGCGAAGGCTATAGACACGTATTGAACATGCTTCAAACAGCAATGTCGCCTTCTGCTACGAGTCTAGTACCAATGGAGTTCAATTGAAAGAGGACCATGCTGTCTTAAGGGCGTTAAAGGGTTAATTTGGAGACAAATAATGATTATGTTATCAAATGAGTGTTTTCATTGTATTTTAAATCATCACTCCGAGATACCAAGTAAGCAAAGCATTATATAAACTCTTAAGTTATGGATTCTGTAAGCGGTGAAAATGGTTGAACAGCTCACAATTTGAAGTAATGGAAACTTTTTAATGGAGAACCATAATCACTGCACGGCAATCACTTCCAGCCACATTGACGGGTGAGTTTCACCTCTATGTAATTTCTGTGAGCCATCGGCTAAAATTTTCCCTGTTGGCATTAAGTTTAAAGTCTTAGGCCTATTTGTCAAATAAAATCGCAATTATGGCAAATTAAACACTAACGTGAGACACACAATGTCTAAGTCCTTTTTTTCTCTACACCTCTATGAACACTCATTGTAATTCATGTATAATTTCAAGTCTGACACGCAAACGAAATTTGACAGTAGTCTCCTGGTGTGCGTGTCTTTGCATTGCATAACTAACTAGTTTGCAAACAGGAAATAAACTTCATTCAGGAAATATTAAGGCTAAATTAGGAAATTCTAAAATACACTAAACATTCATTGGCATTCTAGAAACATAAAACTTTCAACTAACGATTGTACGTGGAATATCTCTTTTAACGCTTAACACTTCCACCATCTAAATCTCATTGTCAGGTAGAAATGTTAACTCCGTGAAATTAAATGTAAGGTCTAGATTTACAGGTTTAAACTGTATTGAAAATAAGGATTGATGTATGTTTAAATCAAGATGATCGTGTTTATGATTTAACTTTAATTTTCCATCCAAGAATGAATTAGTATGAAAGAGTTCAACCTGAGTAACCAGGGCTGAAGGAACTGTGCAAACGTAAGACTTTTCGTCTTCTCGTCACTGCTACGTTAAGACTATAAACTGCGAAGTACCATGTAAGGTCATCTACCTTCTCAACCTTTGGAGATTAAAAATCGGCGCTGAACATCGCAGACAAGCTAATACTGAGATCTATAGGACAGGCATTGAAACTTGAATTTTTGAGTTATGATTTCCCCATTTAGTGAATATTTTGGTCCAAAAAACAAAAGACTTTTTGGAATCTTAACTTTGTTCATTTTATCTTTTGTTGGGCTTCAATGTATAGTTTTTCACATTCGACGTCAGTTGCTTCTCACGATTAATATACCTAAGTGTATTAGCTTCACTATTGCAGGTAATAATGATATTAGCCATTTTTTATTAATTTGAAGAGACTATAATGCAATATGTCTATGTTCTACTTACAAATATCAAAGGAAAGAATTCGAAGCGTCAAGGAGACGCACAGTAGAATTATAATTATTCCATTGACCAAAATCTTGTTGTCCGAATGAAATAGAATAAAACTACACATGTTCGGAATTATCCATGAATGACAAAGGAATCATTTGAATCCTACATGGTTACATAAAAACAAAATCAAATTACGCAATTATTGGCGAGAATCGAGTTGGCGTGTGAACGCATGACCACTTGTTTTTCTCAAGCAAATGAATTCACCTTTTAATGGACGATCGAGGCTGACGCCCCCGTAAATAGCTGACTTTCATCATCAAATCACGAGGAGCTCAAACGCGAAAGCCATAGATATGGGTGATAGGAAGAACATAATGGAAGGAAGAATTTTGTGCACAAGATTGTAGGATAGAAGTCCTACATTGAAACGACGCAGTTTGCTTCTTCTCATCTTATAAGGACAGCCAATAAGCACTTTGAGTAAATAATAATGACCTCCAGTATACTAACAGGTCTTCGGTGGTCTCTTCGATCTACTCCTAGACGGTGATGAAATCTCTTCAAGGTGTATGAATCAAATTAATCTTCCAAATGGTCAAATTAATCGTTCAAAAAACTTTGAATATCATGAACTTATACCCATCGGAATGTCGTACATCAGCTCAAGAAAATTAAGGTTCAGAACAATTGATTATTTCAAAGTGAGTGACCATTCCTACGTTTTTGGGGTTCAAACACAATGAGAGACCCTACTCCTTATTTTCTCTCAATCTACTATTTCGGCTAATTTGACGCTCTTTCGTGGTAAACACTATCGCAGTAATTTGAATTTCTGATTCGAACTTATTTCGAAATCGAAATATTCTGAATTTTATTTTCAATCACTTCGATGCTCTCTTGCTTTTAATTTCCCAGTTATATTCCTATACATAGGTAATTTTCTGAAAATATTTTTAAGATAATAGAATTACCGAAACAAATCGGTATCTAAAAACCGTTTATAATATAAAGCAGAGAAGGTGCGAGAACTTAGATGGCGAAAGACAACTGCGAAATGGTTTTGTATGTATGTGTTACCATGACAACAAGAAACAAACTCCGATTAGTACCTTTAGAAAGGAACACTGCTCGGTAAACCATGCGGTTGCATGGTGGAAGATATGCATATTTCTGACTAATTACGAGCTGCTAATGTTACCAAGATGTGACGCCTATCTTCATGCTGTATGTTGGCTCTCCATATCGACTCCTTCATATCCAAGACGATGACAAAATTAAATAGCATTGAAATGAATGGCGAAATACAAACTCTTGGAAGAAAAAGTCTGCCTGATCATTTCTTTCTTCGTTTCCTATTTTTGCTTATTAATGTTAAAATAATAAACGAAAAGCCAATTTTACCGCTTCGTGTTATTTTATGGTATGAACTGTATAATTATGGATAAATTTTTTATATCGACATGTTAAGTTAAAAACGCATCGGCATTTCTGCATAGAAAGCACTGTTCTAAGCGGATTGAAAATGGGTGGGAATTGATTTCAGTTTCATTAGTTAAATTGTTTAGGAAAAAAAGCGTAATATTGAGTGGGGTCATAGTAAAAAAATTGTATGAGCAATCAAGCCAAAAAAGGGTATTTGGAGAGGATTTGCGTGAATTGGTTTTCGTATGTTACTTTAGATAATAGAAAAGCATTCAAAATTAAAAGGAGGTTTTCTAACATCAAGTTATGTATTTTGTTTTATCGATATCTTATATAGTAGAAGTTACTGGGAGCTAATACGCTTGATGGGACACCACTGTGAGTCATACTTAATGTATCATTATTTTCATTGGCCAATTTGGCTTTTGCATAATCAGTATCTATGAGTCAATGTTACTTATTCATTCATTATTGAGCATTTCTACTATCAAATAAAAAATATACGTCTAAATGGTCGTTTCGCAAAGTACTTTCTAACATTTTCAACCATGCACAAATATAGTTATAATTTGATAAAATATCAGAATAAAGGCAAGATACCTCTTTCAGTTATGTAAATGACGATTATTCAAGGTCAGAAAAAAACATTTTTCGATGAATAATTACATTGATCAAACTTTTAGAATAACCTTAACTGTTAATAATTTATTAATGCGCCTAAACTATGAAACGCACAACTTTGTAACTTTGAGATTTATGATAAACAGCTTGTGTGCTTTTTTCTTCGAGTTGGCTTTATTTGAGTAAAAAATCCTTATTGGACTTCAAATAGCCTTTACGAAGCAAAAAATTCTTATAATTGTCACCTTTTCCTAGATTTACATTCAAAAAAGCTGATAATTAGAACCTAAGAACTTATCTAAACTACACAAAACCAGTCGATTGGAAAACTGGATAATTCTGACCACCAATTTAATCTTATATTTATTTTTAGGCTCAGTGGGATATGCATAGCAAATGGGCTCAACTCTTTTCAAATAGAATAGTGTGAGAAGTCCCAACTGTCAATTTCTAAAAGTACGTGTTTTTTCGCCTTTGGCACAGTGACATGAATGCCACGACTTGCCAATTTAAAAGGCCGCCCATACAAGAAAAAAATTTTAAATCTTGTTTCAATCTAGTTTAATGCAAGATAAGCAATTATTTCACATTATAAATCCCAAATTTGATGAATGATGAGTTGTGAGCTGCTATAAACAGTCAAGTTTCAAAGAGTTTTAAAATACCTTCGTTATATCTGGGAATGCGGTATTAGATTACCAATGAATGGTTGGTAAACATATGTTCCTGAATGCTTAGAACTAAGCAAGAGCAAATATTTTGAAATGGTGGATCTTTGATCCCCCCTAAAGAATTACCTGGATTTTAGGGACCAATAAGGAGCCAATGAAAGCCAAATAATTTGGGAAAAATTAAAAATGTCATGAGAAACTTATAAACCGTTGTGAAAGGTAAGCTCACGCAACGAAAATTTTAAAACTTTTACTAATGTTCTATGATGAAATCATCCATGCTAAATCATGGCAAAATGCTCAACTAGTTCAATGCAAAAGAAAACTACTTGAAATGTGCACATATGTCAGGTCAATGGTTCCAAAACTAATCCCTTAGCCACACCTACAGTGGCGTTGTTAGTTT